TTCTCGGTAGAATATGGATTCGTTCTTGGGAGTTGCCATTTTGAATGTTTAAGTACTTCACTGATTTGACTTTTTTAAATGTTGAGAAGCTGGCCAGTTAAATTTGAAAAGTTAGGTTATGTAACAGCATTTCTTGTGACTTTTAACGACTTTGAATAATGTAGCTAAATTGACTGGCTCAGAACAGCCTGTGATGGGATGGCGTTTGCTCGTTAGCCTGGGCGGTGAGATTGAGAGCAGGGTCACAGATGTTTTCTGGACGGTCCAGATGGTAAGTATTTAGGGCTTGTGGTCCTGTGGTCTGTGTCGCAGCTGCTGGACTCGGCCATGTGCCAGTACATCTTTATTCATGGACACAAATTCGAAGTGGATACAGTAATGTTTAATACTCAGTAGACCTTAGTGCTGTTAGACTACCGGACAACTGAGCAGGCAGCCCCGACTTCCGTGTCAGACCCCCTTCCCTGCCCGCCCCCCCATCGGTAACATCCTGGTTAGCCTAGTGCGCTTGTTACAACCCAAAGCCAGTGCTGCCACATTGTCATTGACTGAAGTCCGTAGTTTACATTAAGATTCACTCTGCGCTCTATATTCTATGGGTTTTGACAAATGCATAATGTCACGTATCTACCATTACAGTGTCATAAAAAGACCAGCCTCTAATAAATCCTGTGCTCCACCCGTTCAGCCTCCCTCCCAGGCAACCACTGATCCTTTTACTGTCCCCCTGGTTTTGCCATCTCCAGGATGTCTTATAGATGGGGGGAGGGCAGAGGTGAGGAAGAAGGAATGAGGGGGAGCAGGAAAGGGAGTGGGGCATCTCTCTTCTTAGAAGGTCGCAGTCCTCGCAGATCAGAGCCCCCGCATTTTAACCTCATTTAACCTTCTTCCCTCCCAAAGACCCTGTCTCTGTGTGCAGTCACATTGGGGGTTAGGGCTTCAACATATAAATTTATATTGGCAATTATATACAAAGTTGCTATAAAGATTCATGTGCGGGCTTTTGTATGGATATAAGTTTTCAGGTCATTTGGGTAAATACCAAGGAGCACGATTGCTGGGTCCTATGGTGAGAGCATGTTTAGCTCTGTAAGAACCTCCCAAACTGTCCTCCAAAGTGGCTGCTCCATCGGCACCCCCATCAGCAACTGAGCTCCTGTTGCCCCCTGTCCTCCCAGCACTTGGTGTTGTCAGGGCTCTGGAGTTTGGCCGTTCTGATCTGCGTGTGATGCAGCTCGGTGTAGTTTTAATTGGCATTTCATTTCCCTGGTGACAGATGATGTGGACCATCTTTTCATGTGCTTATTGGTCATCAGCACATCTTCCCACTCCTGCTTCCTTCCCTCTCCCTCCCTTGCATTTGTGCAAATACCCTGACCCCACCCTTTTTTTTTTTTTTGCTACGTATGAGATATATTTACCCAAATCAGGAGCTTCCATCTGCCACTGCGGTTTCTTCTATAACTGCAGTCTCCTCTGTGAAAGCGCTGTTTGCCTCTCGCACTGCCCTGAAGCTGGCTCCCTGGGATGCTGCTTTCCCTAAAGCCCGGGGGAGTGCTGGCTCTTCTCATGCTCAGAACCCTTGGCCTGTAGGGCCTGAAGGAGGGCCAGGTGTCTTCCTGTTCCTCACTGCTGCTTTCGGATCATTCTTCTCCATCGTCCCTCCGCACACCCAGGTTTAGACCTCGTGTGCTGGAGCGTGCTGTCTTCTGCCTCCGCTGTTACAGTCGCCTGCTGGTTCCTGGTTCATTCTCCTCACCTTGTGGAAAATTCTAGCTCCCAGCTTCCTGTCACTTTCTCTAACACCCCATCCGTCATGATTCTTGGGGACTTCAGTGTCCCTAGGAAGGCCCTTCAGCTGCCCTGACCTCCATTTCCGGGGCTCCTCTGCTTGTGATCTTGGCTTTCACCGTCTCAGCCACTCACCGCCTGAGGATGAGCCCAAACCTTGTCTGACCAACAACACAATCCCACTCTCGGACGCCCGCTCTGACCTCCACCTCCTGCCTCACCAGCGCAGCCCCTTTGCTATTCCAGTGCCAACGTCACCTTCACTCCTGCTGAGATGCGGCCGCCCTTCCTGTGTCTCGCTCTCCTGATGCAGTTTATGGTCCCTGGCCAGTCACTGACCACTCCTGCATGCCCTCCATGCCTTGTCTCTTGTTTTGTTCTCTGTCGGACAAACCACAGCCGTGGTTGAATCCTGCTTACCTGCTCCACGCCTGCATTCCTAGCTGAATGTGGCCGGAAAACATCCGGCCATGCTGACTGGTCTCCCTTTAAATCTATGATCCTAACCGGCATGAGGCCTTTCCGTGTTACCTGGAGGATCCCGTTTGCAAGCACATTCGCTCCTCTGGTGCTGGAAGCAATGGTCTCTTGCTCTAGCTTGAGCCGGTGCCTTCTGTGGGTGCCTTAGCCCCCTCCCCCTTTATTCCAGAATGCTGCCCAGACGCCTCTGCCCGTGCTGCCTGAGTCATCACTCCCCTCTCTACTGGGCATCTCTGTCACCTAACACCCTTGGAGTTGCTTCTCCTTTCCAGCAGCTTTGAATGGGTTGTCATTCACACTGCTGGAATTTATCAGCAATAGTAATGGCCAATGAGAAACCCTAATAGCACTGGCATAGGGACACCGTGCTTATATGTTGTCATACAGCGAATTGACAGTTTGTGTCTATTCTTTTGTCCACAGATTCTGCTCTGTTTGCTGAACTTGGCTATTTCACAGACACTGATGAGCTGCAGCTGGACGCAGCAAGTGAGACTTACGTAAGTCTTTACTGAAGGAGGAATACTGACTAACGTGCTATTTCATTTTTATCCTAAGTATTGCAAGAAGGCTGCAGGATAACAGGTTCAGACCAGTTACTTAAGTTTAAATAACTTATTTGGCCCTAAGGAAGAAAGTTAGTAGCTGTTTTGCAGTCAGGAAGCTCAGGATTGTAAACTGCTCTGGTCTCAGTGTGAGAAGACTTGTATTCTAAGACCACCTTGGGCTCAGGGGTGGGTGACCTTGGAGGAGTCACTTAACTACCTACTCTCACTTTTTATAGTAACTTTGCTGCTTACGGGAAAGGGTGATGCTAAGGGGTGTGTGTGAGTCACAGACCCAGTCAAGTAGAACTTACAGCTTCCTTTTTAAAGTTACGTATCCTTAGTGTAGAATGTTCTGAACATCAGCTATGTCCTTACCTTTTGCCTTTGGGTGGTGAGAAGTCTGTGTAAAAGCTATTGAGGCACGTTGAGTCCTCAAAACCATCGTAGGTTTTCTTCTCTGATTAGCGCGAGTGTGTTGGTCCCTCCACACTGGTCTGCAGAGCTCTTTCACGGACGAGGTGCTGTCCAGGTGGGAAGTCATACAAGCGGACAGTGATTTTATGTGCACATCAGTCAGACCGGAGTTCATCACTTAGTTTTTAAGCCCTTAGTAACCGGAGTATAAAAATATGTAGGGTTTCTTCGACATTTCTCAAAGAAGAATTCAGCAGTTGTTTTACCATGAATCAATAGAAAAGAGTAAAAATAGCATATTTTTAAAATCAGTGCATGGGATTTTAGTGGTTTTATTACTTTTGTGAGATACTTTAGAATGTGGCCTGTTGATTAAATTGACTTTTATTATTGGCTGGTTGCCTAAGCATCTGATATTCTTTAAAACCATCAAGAACAGAATAGTAAATTTGAAAGATTCAGGGAAATGTCCTGATTTTATAACTAACATTCTTACGTTAATACAAGTCACTTGATCTTTCAGTTCCTTAGTTTTTCTAGTATCTGGAGTGGATGGTTTCTGAGGGCCTTTTCTAGTTTTAAATTGTGTCGTTCTCCATGTGGCAGCAGGTACCACGGTTTCCCAGGGAAAGTCACCGAGGAGCCAGAGTCTATAAGTCCCAGTGTATTATTTCACTTTCTCGGGAATGGACCTGTTACCTTTCCAACCAGATACAACTCTAACGCTGTAAAAAATATTTGACTTTTTGGCTGCAGACTGAGAGAGTCACGCCCGCTATTGTGCCTGTTACAGTCTCGCTAGCACGCAGGCGAGCCTCAGCTTCCTTAGGCTAGAAAGGTTTTAGGAGTTTTTGGTGGCTGAAAGTCCAGGGCTGCTGAATTTTTTGATGCGTGGATTCAAATAAGAGAAAAAAGCAAAAGAGATTGATTTAAAAAGTGGTTTTTCATGATCTAAGCAGGTTTTTTTTTTTTCACGTGAGCTTCCACACCTTCTCTTTATATAACTTGCGCTGGTATTTACTTAGGTAAGGGCAGCATGATAAGAAACAGTTTCCTTTCTTTCCTTCAGTTACGTTCTCACTGAAAATAAACCGAATGATAGACATTTTGAAATGCTAATGTTATTCTAGAAATTACTAAATGGTTGTTAATAATTATTAGATTAAGCTTTACTTTTTGCCCGAGGCTTCCTTTCTGCATTGTCGCTGTTTACTGTCTGTCACATTAAGTTACTATTGACTGCCTTTCGGCTTTGTTGCCCTGTTTCTGTATGAGGTTTACTTTGGTTCTTGCCTCCGGAACCCCAGACACTTAAAATATTAGTGGTGCTACCTTGATCTCCAGCTTATAGGCGGGCTCTGAAATCATGTGGTGGGTCCTTATTTATGCGGATATGGCGTAGGATGGTCATCCAGATGGCTCAGAATATGCTTATATTTAAGTAAAAAAATTACCATCTGAATGAAAAGAAACTAAGAGTCCCTCTAAGAGATTTGTTGAACTCTGTTTGAGAAACTTAATTTTATCTTCTAGGATTAAAAAATTTTTTGAAATTTAATCTTAGAAATTTGAAAAGTACAGGGCAGTATAAAAGAGAAGAAAATGACTCCTCCTCCTATGAGTCTCTTCCTTCCAGCATAACCATTTTACTGTTTGGTGAACTTGTATGTTCAGTTACAGCCTCTGATTCCTACATGTCTTTGCACGCATCTGTACTCTTTGCATGGTCTGCAGACGTGACGCTGTCAACAAGCATTTGCTTTCCGTGTTTTTCCTATTGGCAATGGGAAAACTTACTTTGCTGGGTCTCCCTATGGCAACAGATTTATATTTGTGACTCTTCTGATGGTCTGTTCCCGTTGAGAAGAATGATACCAGAGGCATCTTTTAAATGTGACCGTTACCTCCTTCCTGGTTGTTACTGCGGTGCCTCAGGTAGCGCGTGGTTTGTCTCCAGGGTGAACCCGTTGACTTAGGATGGCGTTTACTAAGTTGGGTAATAGCAATTACATTATGGCAAATTGCATCTGATAGTTTGATTTCTAGATGTATATATTTTATTCTAATATTCTTTTGCTGATTTGAAACCTACAGGAAAACAGCTTTGACAATCTTGGTTTTGATTTGGATTTGATGCCTTGGGAGACGGGCCTTTGGGACATCAATAACCAGCTCTGTGCAGGTAACGACGTGTTTCCTGAGGACAGGTCTTAGACGGACCCATTTCATGTTGCAGTTTGGTAACAGTCAAAATAGGTGGGGTTGTTGGGCTACTTGGATGGGTAAAAACTTCCAGGGACTGTGTACCCTACTTCTGGTGTGACAGTGCCTGCATCAGTTTCTTACGGAGCGGATGTAAGGAGCTTCATAGTTGGGTTTTGGTCACATGTGAATAAAGAACTCATACCAGAAATACCAGAGATTAACCTGAGAACCACACAGAACTTGGGATCCAAAGGGAGGAAGCGTGGGGTCAGCAGAACTCAGGAACCTGGTGTCGAGACCCACTGCATGTAGGTACGTGCTCTGAGGAGGTGCACTGCCTGGCCATAGAGGTGGGCTTGCGGGCGCTGACAAGCTGAACCTGCAGCCAACTGATCTCTGCGATGAACCTGGTGGGGGGGATGAAGAAACCCCTCTCTCTTCTGCCTTTCAGCATCCTTGTGTCCCCCGTGTCCCCTGGTGACGGGCCCTAGGCGGAAGCCATCTGGGCCGGTAGCCATAATTTGTATCTCAGACTGCAGGAGGTGGGCTTGGAGCTGAGAGCTGACGGGTAAACCAGTAACAACCCCCCCTACCCCCACAGACATCCAGTCCTCCCCACCCACACTTCCTGTGTAGCTTCATATGCATAAAATGAGTGTTTGAATGCCCTATTGATGCCTGTCTCCCTCAGAACATGGGCTGCACCAGCCAGTGTTCTGGTCACTGTTGTTTTGTCATAAATGGCCCTAAAACTTAGTGGTTCAAATAGCCACCATTGTGTTGAGCTCCCGGCATCTGTGGGTCAGGAGTTTGGACAGTGTACCTGGAATGACTCGTCTCCACTCCATCGTGTGTGGACCTCAGCTGGGGAACCTGAAGGCGGGGGTAGCATGTCATCTGGGGCGACAGTCCCCTTCAGGGGTCTTCCTTCGCTTGTCTGATTCTTGGTCTGGGATGACCTGAAGGTGACGAGTGCTGCTAGAGTGCCTGCTGCCCATGGCCTCGCTGTGTGGCATGGTTTCCTGGCAGCATGCTCTTGAGGTGGTCTGGCTGCAGAGGTCCCGGGTGCTGTGCTCCAGATACAAGCAATTTCACTGAGCGTTACTTCCATATTGTGTGGATTGAAGGACTCATAAACCCACCTAGATTCGGACGGACGGGAAATACTCCCTGCTTGATGGGAAGTGGCAGGATCACATTCCAGATCACGAGGGACCACGAGATCTTCTGCAGCTCGCTTTGGAAGACAGTCTGCCACAGGGCTCGTCTCCCGCCGCCCCCCATTATAAATGTGACACCTAGGAGCACTGCCTGGGCCACAGTTGCTCAATACATTATTATAAATAAGTTAATAGCTCCAAAGATAGGAACAGTTTTGTGCGTTTTAATTGGGTTGTCAAAAATGCTTTCCAAAGTAATTCCGGTTTCTTTTAAAAAACTTACATGCTGGGGGATCTATAATTTTTTGCATATGTTATAACATTAAAAAACTGTGTGGAGAAGATAAAAGCCCCTTTCTGTTCTTGCTCCTCAGCTATCAAGTTGTGCTCCCCAGAGACAAGCTGTTGGCGATTTCTTACGTTCATCCTCCTAATCCAGCGGTTCTCAAACTTCCTATGCCGCGACCCCTTAATACAGTTCCCCATGTTGTGGTGACCCCCAACCATAAAATTATTTTCGTTGCTACTCTATAATTTAGCTACTGTTATGAATTGTAATGTAAATATCTTTTTGTTTTCCGATGGTCTTAGGCGACCCCTGTGAAAGGGTCGTTTGACCCCCAAAGGGGTCAACCCCAAAGGTTGAGAACCGCTGTCCTAGAGCATTAGAGCAGCTGCGAGGAGGTGTGTCCTTATCCGCGTGTACACTTCATCACACGGGTGGAGGTGTTGACAGGCTGCGCTCTGCAGCTTGGATTGTCACTTGATGATATGCTTGGTGACCTTAGCTTCCACACGACTGAATTGTAAGAGGTTTTACCTTCTTTCTTAATGACTGTATTGAACGTTTTTACTCCGTGTTTTTCAGTTGAAGATATTAAGGCGGAGCCTCAGCCACTTTCTCCAGCCAGTTACTCCAGTGCTTCCGTCTCGTCTCCTCAGTCAGTGGGCTCTTCCTCTTCAACTCAGCACGTTCCTGTAAGTAGCCAGGCTTTTACGGTGGTTTGGTTGTGATGCTGCCTAGACAGTCTGTACTCGGGGGAAGCAGGTGACGTTTGTTACCTGCACCGTGAGCCTTGCTCCCCCTTTAATCCCAAGGAAACTGAGTATTGGGGAGGGGCCTCGGGGGAGCTGGAACGTTGTCAGCCTCTGGGCGCGGCTGTCCTGCCTGGGTTCTTGCCTTCGTAATTTCATGGTCCCCTTATCTTGGTGCCTTTCCCAGTAGCTGGCGTTTTGTTTATCGGCTTACTGTCTTTTCTCCCTGCCACCCTCGCCTCCCTGTCAGAATGTGCGTGCTTTGCGGACTCGGAGGGCTAAGGCGGTGTGTCTCTGTAAGTCCTTCGCCACAGAGCCTGATGGTCCCCAGAGTTCAGCACCTCCGGCACTGCCTTTTGTGTGGCTGACGTTTTTACAAAAGGCTGGTAGCTCCTAAAGATTCTGCTCTCCATTCAGGAAAGGAAGTTCAGATGATTCAGGCACTTCTTGGGATGAGGAAAGGGAAAATATAAGAAGATAAATTCGGGTTAATATTTCCATACATTGTATCTGGCAGGCGTTCCATCTCGTCCGTTAGGAAACCCCGACGGTCTGTCCACTTACTGTCTCTAGGATTCATCTCTGCCCCTGCCAGGCCGTCGTCACCTCACCTGCATAAGTCGGTGTGACCTAAGCTGGTCTCTGCCCCCCACTCCCCAAACCTCCTTAGCAGAGGGGTCTTCCCAGAGGACTCTTTCAGAATCCCATACTGGGTGGTGTCAGCCCTTTGCTGGGAACCTTGAGCGCCCTCCCCGCCTTTCCGTGGGTGAGGGGCGCGCTCACAGTGCGCTGGCCTCTGGGTCTTGCTCGTGCTCACGTGCCAGTCGTGCTCACGTGCCAGTCCTGCTGCTCACGGCCGCTTCCTGCCTGCACCCTCACCTGTGCTGGAGCCTGCGAGAGCTTCGGCCTGACAGATTGTGCGGCACCGAGCACATGTGTGACGTGGCCAGCTTTGCCCCATTTCCTTCCCCAGGGGCGGATGGTGTGCTGTGCCACCGGCAGCAAGAGAAGTCACTTTGCCTGTCGTCCCTACCACAGCGTGTTTCATTTCCTGTTCCCTTTGTTATGAGTGGGGCCGAGCATCTTTTCCTGTGTTTCATATGTATGAGGCCTCCTTGCATGTTCTTAATGAACTGTCACTTTAAGTTTTTGTCCACTTTTCCGTTGGATTGTGCTCACAATTTTCTCCTAAATTTTGAACGTGTGTTATTACATATCAGGACTGTTAGTCCTCAGATTGTGAAATAAGTTACAAGTGTTTTTTCCTCTCCAGTTTGTCATTTGTCTTTAAGCTTTATTTCTGGTGTTTATTTTTTCCAGGGATACTTTTTTTTAATAGCCAAATTATCGATCTTTATTGCTTTTTTTTGTAACTCAAAGGAGGCTTTTCACCACTCAGGCTACACTAGTTTTATTCTTGTTTTCTTGCTTATATTAATTTTTTATTTGGAACAGTCGCAAGCTTACAAAAATGTTATAGGTAAATTTCAAAGAACTTTTTTCCCTGAACCACTTGTGAGTACGTTGCCGACCTGATGCCCTGTCACACCCCCCACACCCCAGTACTTTAGTGTCTGCCTCCTGCAAGCAAGGCTATGACTTCATAGCCACAGTATAACCATTCATATCAAGAAGTAAGTGTTAATACATCGCTGTCACCTAACCCTCCAGCCCCTGAGGTTGGGCTGGGTTTCCCAGACGTCCCCTAGACTAGCGTGAGGATGTCGTTTAGAGTCACGTGGCACAGAGCTGTCTTGTCTCTCTAAATCTCCTTCAGTTGCATCGATTCTTTCTTCCACGACTTTCATGACCTGGTCACTTTTGGAGGTTAAAGACTAGTTATTTTGCCGAGTGTCGCTCATTTGGGTTTGCCTGGTGTTTCCTTAGGGACAGTCAGGTTTCGAGTCCATGTCACAGACTTGATGCTGTGTCTGTCTGTCTCACACATGCTGAGGCGGCACATGGTTCAGTTTCTCCTGACTCACGGCATTCGCTGTGCTCTCACGGGGTGCGGGCACGCCTGCCCGGCTCGTCCTAGGTGAAGCCGCTCCTCCATCACTGTAATATTAGTAGGGACCTTGGGAGCAGGTAGCTGACTTGTGTCAAAACGCCGTTTCCCAGCACACTTGATTCGTTTATTTGTTCATCATTTTGGACTCATGGTCTCCCATTTTATAGTTATAATCTACCACTCTATTTATTCTGCATCTTTTAACTTTATGCTTTATTTTTTATTATAAAACGTTTTAATTATTGTCCAAATCTGTTTCTTCTTCCTTTATGGTTTCTGGGTTTTTTGACTCAAGGAGGCCTATGTCATGCTGAGAGTAGTAAGTAATCTGTTAAATTTTCTTTTAATAACCTTACAGGTTATTCGAAGAGGGTATGACGTTGGGATCCTGCCCATTCCAGTATTATACATAGAACACCTTTTTCTCTCAGATTAGAAATGCTATTTTATCTTATGTTCACTTTCTTGATTCTAACGAAATGAGACAGAGCCATTGAGTGTTAGACTTTTGGGAAATATCTTTATACATCCCTGTATTATCAGTGCACTCATTAAATAAAATAGCCCCGCTCCCTTCAGTGTTTGTCCTTCTTTTAAAACATGTGGGACAGATGGCAGCGTTAATAATAGTAAGAATTGTTTGCGTTTGAGATTTTTGTGAGGCTGAACGAGAGATTGTGGGGAAAGGATCCCGGTATTTTAGCTGAAGCGTTGTGACAGACTCAGCTTCTGTGTGGTGAGGGCCACGTGGGATGTGCAGCCTGTGGAGGAGACGTAGGAGCAGGTTGTGCTCGTTGACACCCTTGCGTTCCGAGTGTTTTCCTGTGGGCGTGGCTGTGCTCTCAGTGCGCTGGCACCTACCAGCACGTTCCTGGGAAGCCCGCCTGGGCCTGGGCCTCGGCCTGAAGCGTTTCCCTGTGTAGATGTGGGCCTCGCCTCCTATGGATTTTCTGCTCCAGGGTTATATCCCTCTGCGTGACTTTGTGTTTTATTTTGCTGCAGGAGGAGTTGGATTTGTGTCCTGCCTCCCAGATGTCGCCCCTCTCCTTGTACGGTGGGAGCTCTCCTCGTCCCTCTTCGGCAGAGCCACTGAGGGAAGACAAGCCTGTCACTGGTCCTGGGAGCAAACCCGGTACCGCTCGCCTCCTGACTTCTGTCCTTTCTGTTGTAGGCTGAGCTTCGTTCCATTTCTTAAAAGACCGTGTGGGATTAAATGTGTGTTTAATTCGCTGGATGTCTTTCGTTTGTTACGGGTGACTGATGTGGGGAGGAGGGAGACAGCGTCTTCGTGGCAGCCTCTGTCGTCAGGGGTGAAAGATGCTTGACTGGCCCAGCCCCGTCATCTTCAGGAGAGAATGCAATGTTTCGGTTAAAGATCAGGAACGTCAGGGCCGTTTGGCTGTGACGTTTGTTACTGCTTTAACCTCTCGGCTTTTCCGGTGGTTTTAGCTGTGTTCTCCACCAGTCGGTGTAGCCCCTTCCCAGAGCCACAGCCCAGCTCGTCCCATTGTAACATGAGTGGGTCCTGGAGACGCAGTGGACGCGCATGGTAACTATAGCTAATAGTCTGTCCTGCGTATTTAAAGTTGCTAAGAGGAAGTTCTCATCACAGGAAAAATGATTTTGTAACTGTTGACAGATGTTCACTGGACTTACGTGATGATTGTTTTGCGACACAGCATCGAATCATTCTGTTGCAGTTCTGACACTAACGTGATGTTGTGTGTCAGTTGTTCCTCAGTAAAAATAGAGGATGTGCTCACGTTAAGGACTTTATTGGTCCATGAGGTATAGAGGGGTGTTGCTTAAACGCCAGGAAAAGACAGTTGCTCAGAGGTCAAAATAACCTATTTCCAAGGTCCAGGTGTAGAGAAAGGGATAGCATAGAATCTGTTTTTCAAGCTTTGCTTAATTGCCTTCAGATTGACTTGTGGTTTATTTGGTTTTTCTCCAGAAAATGGACTGACTCCAAAGAAAAAACTTCAGATGAATTCAAAACCTTCAATCCAGCCCAAGCCTTTGTTACTCCCAGCAGCACCCAAGACTCAGACAAACCCCAGCGTCCCGGCCAAAGCCATCATTATTCAGACACTGCCAGCGCTTCTGCCACTGGCCAAGCAGCAGCCCGTTATCAGCATCCACCCTGCACCCGCTAAAGGTACACAGCTGGAACCGGAGGCTGCGTGTGTGACCTGCGGCCTCCAGGCCTGGCCACGCGGTGTTCTCATTTCTGGTTTTGGTCTCCGAGCACTTGCTGGGCGTGGGGAGTTGCTCTGCTGGGATGTTGCAGAGACGGCTAAGATGCAGCCCCTGTCCTAGCAGGAGAGCTGGCTCTCTGGATCACTTACCCCGATGCTTTTTTTCTTCCCAGTTTAATTATGAAAACACCTGCTTGGAAGGCTGTGGTTTTATGCAGTCCCGTGTAATAGGGAAGAAAATCGGGAAACTTTCCAGGTGCCATTCTATTCTGCGATTTTTGTGTCTATGAACTTTTTTGTTTTTAAGGAGAGGTCAGTATTTAAAATACTGTGGTTCATTTCAGGACTAGTAGGTGTTTTGGCCGTAGAGTCAGGCTCTTAACCTCTGTGGAGGCGGCATGAGCTAGAACAGGCTTTAGGAGCGGACCTGAACTCTGTATCTGCAACTAGTGAAGAACGTGTGTGTTTCCATGTTGTGTCCACCAGGTGGCCTCACACACTTGATTCTACAAGAAGTCTAGGTCAGTGTTGAAAGCTCAAGTTGGAGGATTTGGTTCTGTTCAGGCTTCGGGCCTGCAGACCGCGAGGGCAGATCGCTCACCAGTGCCCGTGGGCTGGGATGTGTCCACACGGGTCAAGGGAGGCCATGCAGGGCTCCGTCCCCGGAGTTAGCTGGTCGGCTCCAAGTAGGACTGTTAATGGGGTTTGGGCTGTAAATAAACACCAATGTTACATTTGCATTTCTGGCTCTCTTTCCAGCTAAGGCCTGTTAGCTCATTTTTTTGGAGCATGGTTTTAATGAGGGTAAGGTCACGAATTGGATTTCCAGGTAGCTTTGTTGTATTCTATAGTATAGACGGTATGACCTTGATAAAAAGAAGTAGGTGAGAGATTGGATGGGCCAGTGAAAACCCATCAACCAATCCCTACCAAACCCCCAGCAAACCTGAAGTGCCTGCCCTCAGTACAGGGTCCACACTGCGGCCTTTTTCAGGTGAGAAGTAGTGGTCCATACAGGTCTGTGGATGGAGAGGAAGTGCTCACGAACTTGACGCAGGATGCAGGATTTAGTGAGTGTGCGTACGTGGGTTTTTCTAGGAATAGTCTCTAGAACCTTCATCAGAATCTTAGAAGGGCTGTGTCTTCCCAAAGACCAAGAACTTAAACTTGTGAAGAACCTCACTGTAGTTCCCGGAAGCTATTAAAACGTGAAAAAAGTAAAATTCCAGCATTAACATGAGTAATGTATAAAGCAGGGGTGTCCCTACGGACTGGCTGTGTTAGGGTTAGGCGGTCTTGTCTGTAGCAGGAAGACGGCCGCTCTTTTCTGAACAGTGTGGATCGTTTCAGAACCCTGACCCACGCAGTTCTCAGAACTTCAGGCCTTCCCAGTAGCTGAAGATAGTACTTATTTTGGGGAGCATATGCTAATAAGGCCTGTTCTTCTAGTGCAGGGGTCGGCAAACTGCGGCTCGCGAACCACATGCAGCTCTTTAGGTACGTATATGTGGCTCTGAAGTAAAATTGAAAATGAAAATAAAACTATCTTATTTTCATTTATAAAATTTTTAAAGGATATTATTCACATGATGGTGATTTCATTTGTTTTATGGCTCTTGAATAATTTTTAAATTGTTGTGAGGGACAGGATTGGCTCTTCTGTCTCGAAAGTTTGCCGACCCCTGTTCTAGTGCCACCTAGAGAGGTGGTATTACTATACAGATTGAAGTGCACGTCTTCCGTTTTTTTTGAGAACAGGGAGGGAGGCAGAAGGGAAATGTAGGAGAGGCAGTTTACAATTAATTGGTGTATCAGTAGTAAATATCTTACCGTTAAAAAAGAAGAAGTGCGGGCCGGCAGAGTGAGCTGCCAACAGGTGGCAGGATGGCTCAGCTTAAAAAAAAAAAAAAGAAGAAGTGTTTCTTAGAGGATTCTGTCCGGGTTCTCTAGCCTGGACTGTAAGGCCCGCCCTGGTCTGGCTCCAGGTCAGTGCCCGCACTTTCTGTTGTCGTATCACTTGTTTCTTTCAGCCCCTCCTCTAGCCCAGCTAACCTGGCTGTAGTCCCTGAATTCTCCTGATTTTCCTCGTTTCTTGGCTCCTACCATTCTCTCTGTCTGTTTCTGCCCATGAGCCCCACACGTCCATTAAGGCTGTCGTGAATGCCGGTGGAAATGGCCCCTGGCTGGAGAGCGAGGTGTTAGGAAGCGGAGAGTCACAGGGCTTGGTTATTGGGGAGTCGGGGGGTGGGGTGGGGACACAGGCAACGGCCTTTTCCCCAAAGTCATGGGCTTTTGGGTAGAAGATAGTGCAGATCATCGAAATGGAGGGTGGAGGTCATTCTGCTGGTGTGAGCCCTGGGGCCTGGCCTTGAGCCTTGTACTTGGTTACTGTGCTGTGTTGTCTGTGACGGAATGCCAAGATGTGGTCCTTTCCCAGGAATCCTGTCCAGCTGAGCCGTTAGCAGACTCACACAGACAGCTAAGTAACAGTAACTGTGAGCACACTAATGAATTAGTAGTCCGTGCAGCGTCCTGTGGGAGCGATTATCCGGAAGGAGGAGGAGCATGGCGGCTGATATGTGAGCCTGACCACGTGCTGGTCACTGTTCTGAGTGCTTCCGTGCGCTGCCACCTTCCTTAATCCTCATGGTGGCGCTCTGCGGGGCTGCCGTCACTCTCTCCATTGCATAGATGAGAACATCAGGACACAGAGGTGATCCCAGCTATCCTAGGCCTTCAGGAAATGTTTGGTACTTAGTTTGAAACCTTCTCAGCCGGTTGGAAAGGACGAGCTCACGTTGGTGACCCCTGCGGGGCCAGCGGCACCTGGCACCACGTCCAGCCACCAGCCATTGGGATTTGCACGTGGCACCCAAGAGGCCTGGGCATAGCGAAGTGGGTAAACAGCCCTGCTGGGTTCGCCTTCACTGTTTCCACGGGGTCGGGTCAGCTGTAAGGCCCATGGCATGCCCTGCAGTGCAGCTGGGCTCTGGGGACATGGCACAGGTCACTGTGGGGCACTCCTGGGAGTGCTGTCTCTCTTCGAACATACTGACAAGTTCTGTTGCTCCCCACTCTGGCTTGAACCCAAACATGGAGTTAGGTGCGGGCCCTCCAGGAGCCAAGGGCGTGGTGCAGGGAGGAGGAGCAGGCGGCAGGCCTCACGGCCAACAGACCAGGCCGGGCAGTGGTCCCTCCTCCTCCAGGAGGGACAGACCGTACCCACGATGGCCAGTTTCCTGCCTGAGTTTTAGGAAGCACAGAGCGCCCTGGGTGTGCCGCCTGCCAGTGCTGTGACCCTTTGACTCCAGCTGGAAGTAGGGTCCCGTCTTGGAAATGACTGGATTCTGTATGTTTACCACGCCCTGCATTCTTTGGAATAGTCCCAAAATTCATTGAACTGTGTTTAATTTGGGGGATCTTTTTATTGTAATTTTTTTTTTTCAAAGATTTTTATTGGGGAATTGGGGGCAAAGATTTTTATTGGGGAATTGGGGGAAGGGGAACAGACAAGTTGCTGTCGTTTTGTTCTTCAGTCTAGTTGTGGAGGACGTTGCTTCACTGGCCCAAGTTGGCACCATCATTGCGCTCTTCCCGGGCGAGGCAGATCAGTCGCCGGCTTCTGGACGGCCGCTCACAGAGGCTGCTGGCCACTCACGCTGGCTGCTGGCTACACATGGTAGCCCATGGCAACCCACTGCCACAGGGGCTGCAGCCTACGCCATCGCCGGTGACTCACGGCAGCCCAGCTCCAGGTTGAGCTGTTGTTCAGCATCTTAGCTGTAGAGGGCAGTGTCACTGGCCCTCATATGTGGGATCCGAACCGGGGCCCTCTGGTGTCCCAAGCCAGCTCTTAACCATCGTGCCACTCGGCCTGCCCTTTATTGTAATTTTTAAACTCAGAAGACATGGAGTGCTGCTTCTGACAATGCTGTCCTTGGAAGTACTGGTTTAAGTTGGTGGTCTGGACCTGTGGACTTTGACCCTGGGGGTGGTTGGTGGAGGTGGAGCCAGCGCCGCTGCAAACCGTGTTGGGCGGCGTCAGTGGTTGTCGTGGGTACCTTAGTGCTGTTTTCAGGTTTTGTGGCTACACTTCTGATTAGTAAAGTACAGTTTCACTTTAAATCATTACCAAGTTCACAGTAGCCTTTTCTCTTCACGTATTGTCTCAATCAAAGAAACGGAAAGGACAGTCATGACCGTCTCGCGTGATGTGTTTGTGACATGAAGGAAGAGCACTTGTGTTCAGGGCGGGAGCCCGTGGTTTCAGGGGTGCTTTGTGGTGAGCCTGTCTCTCTCTGTCGTACCAGGTTGGCTATAATGTCTTAGTGATGTTATTATTAACCCAACATGTGGTCATAGGCTATCTATTCTAGTTACTAATCATTTTTACTTGTGTATTTGGCCTAAGCATAGTTGTATCAGCTTCTGAGTCGCCTCCTCATTTTATATGCTTTTATTTCATAGAACAAGTTATTCCACGGGACAGTGAAGAGACAGAAATGTGTAGGGATCATTTATGCCCAAATAAATTGTACAGATTACAAATCTGTGAGATTATTTTTAGATCTTTCTTACTAATTTGCTAACTTAATTGAGACAAAATGCTATTAAGTTCTGCTTTCAGCATGCTTTTTGAGGCCATCTGAAATTGCCCTTTGATTTTATAGAAGTGATCTTTTTTTTTTTAAGCTGAGACAGATGGTCTCAAACGGGTGTTCTGAAGCATTATTTTTTTAGTTTCCCTTGATCCTTTGAAACACAGGGCTGAGTTTCACATGGGTCACGTTACACTATCTGAAAGTAGAATGCTTTGTTTTCCCTTAAAGACGAGTTATAAATATATATGAGATGTTAGTGGCCGGTTACTGCAGCACCTTTATTTGGTAGCTCCTGCAGCTGTCAGTATTAGGACGGTTTTCAGCACCTTATAAAATTGGCCAGGTCTGGAGGGGAGTGCTCAGCAAGCAAGCCCGGGTTTAATAGACTAGAGGCGTGAGCTTTGTGAGTCTTCTCAGATGAGCAGAATTTTAAAACAGTGCTAAATGTGAGGATTAAGAAAAGACTTGAAGACCATTTTTTGTGGGAAGGGAGTTGGTGTTACCTACAGACTATTTTAAATTGCAGATTTATGCTTCCTGTGCTTGCTAAGAATTCATCACAAATGGGTTTAACGTTTTTTTGGTATTTATAGCCCCTTAGTCTCCCAAGCATTGAGTTTAGGAATCTCTGTTCATCTGACTTTGGTGTGGTGTGTGTTTCTAAATCCATTCACATGACATACATGGTTCTCGTTGTTCACTATGAAAGGTTTGCAGTTTATACAATGAAAAGCCCTTTTAGCACCAATAACTTTCAGAGGTCCATACTTCCGGAAATCTATGTGTAACTTAGCACATTTGGGATGCATGTGGTTGGGAAAGTATATGGAGACATACTGTTGACGATAACTGCAAGGGGATGAACTTAGCTGATGTCATTACGACAACAATGACGACAATAGTCGTGATGAGGCTGCTGCTCTTGGCTTGCTGGAGTTGGTGGTTCCGACTCGCTCGGCATGGCCTCGCCTCCCGCGGTCCCTGCAGGAGAGACCTAGATGGTCACCAGCTTCTCCTGCCCAGAAGCTGTGCCCTCTGACCCCAATCTCTTTTCTCCACTGCAGGTCAGACCATGCTGCTTTCTCAGCCTGCGCTAGTGCAGCTGCCGGCGCCCGGAACCCTGCCGTCTCCTCAGCCCGTCCTCGCCGTTGCTGGGGGAGCCGCACAGCTCCCCAGTCATGTGCTGAACATGGTCCCGGCCCCGGTGGCTGGTGGCCCCGTGCCCGGAAAACTGGCTGTCACCAAACCGGCCCTGCCGAGTGCCCTGAGGAGCGCGGGCTCAGATGTGAGTGACACACCGAGCAGGAACAAGGCCCTTCTGCTTCTGCTGCCTGGGTTCTGTTTTTGACAGTTTGTGGCGGTGTGTGGGTCAGGGTGCCGAGGTCTCACACCCAAGCCCTGGGGGCTGATTAGGGGAAGCTGTATTGTGTTGGTGCATGTGGAAGGTTCTGCAGAGTCTGAGGAGGCTTCGTGCAAAGCATCCGTATGTCCCTCTCCCTCAGCGCCTGCTGAGCCCTCTCCCACGTCCCCCTAGTATTTTACAGGGTTTTTTGATGTTTCCTGATTGAAATGTTTTTGGCAATCCCAGATGAACGCCTGCAGATTGCTTTTTAGCCAGGCTTTTTGTACTTAGCGTCCCTCCTGACTGTGGGAGGGTCTTCACCACCCCACGATGACTCGCACGGTCAGGAATCCTCTCTCGGCGACTGTTTGGTACTTTCTGTCTGTGCAAACCTTCTGATTTTCTAGCCTGCTGCAGGGATTTTTATCATTTATACATCTCAGCAGGCTCCCTAAGACTGGCCCGACTCTACGCCCGGTTCCAGCACCTGCCAGCTAGCTGTTGCTTGCTTTAAAAGTGACACAGAGTACCTCATGTTACATGGTAAACAGAAACTGAGCACCGTGGGCCTCCAGGGTGATGAAAGTTACCGTCAGATGGTCAGCCTGGCAGGGGCTTCTCTTGAACTGATTGGAAAAGCAAACCCTGTATGTTTTCTTTAAAATAAAGCTAGCATTCCTGGTGGTTAACATTGCTACTCTCCCTTTCTTAGATATTGAGAGTACTTTTTAAGTCCTGTGAGTGATTTGAGGTTGTTTATCAGACTACGGCAGGTCTGTCTCCCAGAATTTATCAGCAGCATGTCAGTGGCCCATGTGGTCGTGGAGTCGCCCCATGGCTGCCTAATCACCACTAGCACCCCAGTCGGCAGCAGGACTGCCAAGACCCTGGAAGGACTATTGACTGAGGGACGCAGAACACGCAGGCCCTGAGGCAGTTCGCAGCCCTCACGGGGGTCCTGTGAATGGTGTGTGCTGAGTCCCGAGGGAGGCCTTTCAGTGTTGCTTGAGAGCAGACGTGGCAGTGCTGCGGGTTGGGCTCCGCCTCCGTGTTCGTGCGTCTGAGGGCCAGACGCGGGGAGCAGAGTGCTTGCGCCGTAACGGGCCCTGAGGCCCCATGTGTGCTTCAGCTGAAGACAGTATGACAGGCGGTTTGCCTGAAAACGCTGTGGGGAGATGCGGGGTGCAGGAGAGAGGACCGGGCCTGGCCGCGTGTTGCAGTCATTGAAGTTGGGTGTGTGAGCTTTCTCTTCTGGTATTTGGGAAAATGTCTACAATATGTAAATAAGCCACAGTCACAAAAGTCTGGAAGTACTCCATGATATTTTCTTTTCTTTTTTTTTTTTTTTCCAATTTTATTGGGGAACAACCATGGTCATTGGTTACACATTGTTTTCATGCTACAATGGCATAGCTGACCCCTCTAGGGAGGGCGCAGTTCACCCTGGCCCTTGCGGGGATCAAACTGGCAACCGGTGTTATCAGCACCACGCTCTAACCCACTGAGCTAACCCGTCACCCCCACTCCATGATATTTTCAATTTAAAAGTTGTACAACCAGAGGGGCCGGCCGAGTGGCTCAGTTGGTTAAGAAGCTTGCTCAAGAGTGCAAGCTCTGAGCAACAGCGGTTCAAGTCCTGGCCCCAGCTGAGCTGCTGCTGAGTTGCCAACAGGTGACAGAATGGCTCAGCTAAAAAAAAAAATAAATAAATAAATAAAAGTTGTACAACCAATAATAAAAAAAGTATGCTCTCACAGGAAGCTGAGAAGGTTAAGAACGATGAAAGAGGATTTTTAAAATATGATCCCTTAAAGTGTCCTTTTATACTCTTTAAATTATGATTTTGAACGTTTGTCCTATAATAGCCCGAAGTAGAAGTAGCAATGGGAAGTAGTCAAGGCTGTTTTTATATAACGTGTTAGGATGTTTAAAATATTTACTATGAAACATCTTAGACACGAGGAAAGGTAATGAAGTTTTCAAAACTACAGATGAGCCGTATATCACAGCTGTTAAAAAGTGTCAACATCATGTCAGTGTGCGCTCCTGGAGCTCGCATCTCCGACCACGTAGCTAGGACGGGGGGCTGTCCAGAAACCACGTCTCGGGATGAGGAATGGCTCAGGGAGACTCCGTCAACGAGGAAGGGAAGGCTGGTGGTCGTCCGGGACGTGGAGGTTGTCATGTGGGAAATGGGTCCCTGGTTCTGGGCTGTCCCACAGGACTCACCCAGAACAGGGCAGGTTGTTATGGCCGTCGTATGGAAACCACAGGAGGCCTTCCTCCTCTAAGGCTTCATGTCGGAACAGTGAGCGTCTTGATGTTGGCAGTCCTCATTGGCTGCTGCTGACCCGCTTTGAGATCTCGCTCTGAACATTTGTGTGAATGATGGGCTGGCCTATGAGCCCGACGTCCTTTGTAAATTGTTGGTGTGAAAGACCACGTCTGCTCTGCTTTGTACTCGGGAGGGCAGTCGGGAATGTGGTCATTTCCTGATGAAGCCTCTCAGTAAATGCTGGGGGGCTTGGGGGTGTGTGAGACGAAGGGGTACAGACCCAGCATGCGCTAGCTTTTCATTTTGAGCGTACTTATTGGTTAGCGTTGTTATTCCTTTTCAAAAGTTAGAGTCGACAGGATTATGAAAGGAAGATGGAAGCACTGTGTGACCTCGTAGGAGCCCTGATGACCGGAGTGGAGTGCTGGTCAGCCTGCCCTGGGGTTTCCCTGGCCAGCCCCGCAGGGGGGAGCCAAGCCTCTTCAGCGTGAGCTTTCTGGTCGAGGTTTGGCTTGAGGTTTATTGCACGTGAAGAATCACTAGCCTGTCCTGCCAGCCGGTCAGGCCACTCGGGGACCCAGTGGTCTGTCCCAGAAGCAGCTGCAGAAGACGATGGGGTTGGCCTGCCCCCCGTCTTAGTTCTGGGGTGGCCTGTGTCGTGCACGCGTCCCTGGGCTCATGTCCTGTTCAGTTAGGATAAGGAATGAGCGGAAGTTCCTGATTCAAAATGGCCCAAAAGACAAATTTTCATTCTGTGCTTTTAAACAAAAAATGTGGTGAAAAAGTTGTAATTCAGCTAAAAGAAAAAGTGTATCCGTCTTCTGTGGCTTTGTAATGCTGACGTGGCTTCTTTTTTCTACCTTTTTGTTCTTTTGTTTGGCTGGGCTCACTCCCTGGAGGCCTGCTCCTGCCAGCAGTGGTGTTTTCAGCAACCATGACTGCAGATTGCATTAAGGGCCACATTTTCTCCATGAAACACATGGCCTGGTTCAGGTTAGAGTTTCGCTCTTCCTGCCTGTCGCTGGTACATCTGTTCTCTACGAGTCTGGAAACCTCACCTAAGTTTTCAAGAAGTATGATTTGATTTTGGCTCTGATCCTGATGGAAAAAATGAGCACGGGCTCTCATTCCGTGCAGCTGTCTTACGTGCCTTCTTCGTCGTAAGTGGCACTCTGGGAGCTGCACAGATGCCCTCACAGGACAGCGTGCTTCTCTGTCTTCAAAGGCTCCTGAGTGTTGCCAGACCTCAGACCAGGAGTGTGAAAGCAAGTAGTCTGTTTAAATTGGCAGTGCACTTACCACCAACCCGTCGTAATCCATACAGTTCACGAAACGTTGCGGCCCAGGTTTCAAGGTCATGGAGTTATATTGTTGTGGTTATTGGGACAAAAGACCAGGAAAAAAGATGTGGTGAAATTATATTCTGTGTCTTCCACAGAGGGCCAAGGTGGAGCAAAAGCCCCTCATGGAAATCAGGAGGTGGGAACAGCGGAAAGAAAACGATGGGGAACTAGGTCAGCATGAGAAACACCTCGGGTGGGAGGCCGGTGCAGGGATGCAGGCTGCGGTGACAGGAGGAAGGCCTCCCTCTCCGTCCATTCACCCCACTGAGCGCCTCTTTCTGATTCTTTGCTCCGTGACCTTGACCCCTTCCATCCAGTCCCTATTCTCTGCGCGTCCCTGCGATGGGTCACTAGAGCCATTGTGAGAAGCTAGGTGCTAGGGGGCCCTTTCCACTGCCTGCAGGTCTTAGAAATGGTGTGACGGGGGTTCCCCTGGCATACAGATGGGAACTTGGCTTCTCGTTTTCTGGAGAGAGTGTTACACTGTCAAGTTCAAGATTCCAGGGGTCGTGGAGGCGGCCCCGTTGGGTGGTGTGAGTGTCCTGTGTTGCGTGGTGGAATGCTGAGCTTTGGGAATCCTCCACTTGCATAGGAAGCAGCGACCAAGCCTCCTCGTTGTCCAGAGGGAGACGTTACCTCATCTCATGGGTTCTCGCTGGAAACACTGCCTGAGAAATGGCCTCATTACAGTGGCCAGAGCCTGATGTTCTTGCTGGACCGAGGAGGACGTGCAGGAGCATGACTCGCCAGAGACCCACAGAGGAGTATCGTGCAAGGAAAATGTGAATCTAAAATAAACTATTTACAATGCAGAGACGCTCCTAGAAAAACGGAGAGTGCCTTGTTCCATTTCCGAAACAAAGCACTCCTGACACTTAGGCTGCGTTTTATCTGTGAGACCCAAAAATAGGTCCTGTTTTAGGTCAGAGTGTGAGCTGAAATCCTTAAATCCTGTGGCTAGCTGAGATCTAAGGAGATAAATGCTGAATAATACTTTATCGTAACTAAATTCTTTAACAACAACAACCTTGAGATCATGATATTTCTCTAGGCTGGAAAGTGGAGTCTGTCAGAGCAAATGTATCCAGAAGGATTTGGAGATCGGAAAAGCTGTCTAGATTTTACTAAAAAATTACTTCTTTTTGGCTTTCCTGCTACCAGCGACTCTTTGCAAGTAAAAGGAAAACATACTTTGTTAAAATATTTGCAGTTTCTCTTTTGATGGAGGATTAGGGCTTCTAAAAATTGATCCTGAATAAGATTTTTGGCAAGTGATTTCATTTGTGGTTACAGAGCTTCGGAAAGGGAAGCGAACAGGTTTCTTG